ATAACAAATAATAACTACAAAAACAGCAATCACTATAATATAGAAGTCGCGTCTCATAGATAAAAATAATTATACAAAATGCTAGTATAATGTCCTTGGGTAGTAGAGTAAAAGGCAATCATATCAACAAAACTAATGCCAACGCACTTCACAGTTTTCCACCAAATCATCTCCAACTATAAAGGACAATGAACTTGTTCTTTAACATCCCAGGCACAATTTTCTGAAAAATCCATTTCATCTTAAATTTTCATGTAGCTATTCCATTTTGATTCTTAATGTACTTGTGAGTTTGATTTAATATGGTTCTATCTAGATTGCTTTCCATCAAATATTCCAGGACTATGACTGTACTGCCATCAAATCATTACTATCGTATCATCCTTAACCCACACTTCACCTCCTGCACACACCTTACCTTTAGAGATACTAATGCCTCATGCAAGAAGCTACTCTAGACCTGTTAGGAAAGGTTTCATCAGTTTAAACCACATGTGGCAGTGCCATTTGACTCTATCTTTACGATTTCACACACTGATCATGATTTTTTTTTAGATTTTTCTTAAAAAACACAGCTAACTTACATTATATCAGTTTCAGTACACCATAGTTATTCAACATTTATATACCTAAAGAAGTGATCACCATAAGTCCAGCCACCTTCTGACACTGTACCATGCTATCACAATATTGCTGACTATATTCCCCATGCTGTACATTACATCCCCGAGACTTATTTGTTTTATACCTGGAAATTTGGACCACTTGTTGCCCTTCCCCTTTCCCCTTTTTTAATTTTTCAATTACAGCTGACATTCAATATTATTTTTTATGAATTTCAGAGGTATAGCATAGTGGTTAGACATTTACATAATTTAAGAAATGATCCCCCTGACTAGTCCAGTAACCACCTGGCACTACACACAGTTATTACCATACCATTGACTATATTCCTTGTGCTAAACCCTAGTCCCCATGACTACTTGGTAACAACCAATTTATACTTCTTAACACCTTCCCATTTTTCTTCTACTCCCTCAAACCCCCTCCCATCTGTAAACCATAAAAATGTTCTTTGTATCTGTGAGTGCTTTTCTGTTTTATTTATTTTGTTCTTTAGATTGCACGTATAAGTGAAATCACATTGCATCTGTCTTTCTCTGTCTGACATACTTTATTCAGCACAATACCCTCCAGGTCCAAATGTGCTGCTGCAGATGGCAAGAACCCATTCCCTTCCATGGTCAAGCAATATTCCCGTGTATACATGTACCACTTCTTCTTCATCCATTCATCCATCCATGGACACACAGGCTGCCTGCGTATCTTGGCTATTGTAAATAATGCTGCAATGACCGTATAAATGCACATGTCCCCTCAAAGTAGCATTTTGGATTTCTTCAGATAAATACCTAGAAGTGGGATTACTGGGTCCTTCTTTGTCTCTCGTTATTGCCTTTGTTTTAAAGTATATTATGTCTGGTATAAATATTGCTACCCAGCTTTTTTTTTTTTTTTCATAAAATAACTTTTTCCATCCCTTTACTTTCAGCCTGTGTGTGTCTTTCAGGTTGAAGTGTCTTGTAGGCAGCATATATAAGGGTTTTGTTTTCTT